TATTTTTTAAAAAAACTACAAGAGATAGTCCCTTAAATTGTGGCACAGTGGGACAAGATGACACAGAGCAGCAACCCTGCTGAGGTGTGGGTCAATCAGTCTATCCACTGCTTTTTAAGAACTTTTTGATTTATGCACGATGATTAACCCATACTGGAGCTATAATGTGGGCAGCCCCAATCTTCTGGTGTGAGCAGAAGTCTGGGAAATGTAGTTTAAGGTGGGCTCTTTTGAGTATTCTGCTACAAAGGTCCCCACCTTTCTAAACTTTATTTCCCAGAATTCTGCTCATGCCAGAAGAATGGGGCTGCAGTTTGCGGTTGGATAATTTCAACAGAGGATAGTTAGACTTGATTTGATAGAACAGAAACTAACAAAATTATATAAAAAAACTAAATTTAACTTTTACTAAATACACAGAATGAGCAGCACATTTCTTTCCTACGACTCCACAAAGAATTAGAAACAGAGATGCTGAAACCCTGTAAATTGCTTTCTTCTTGCCTCTTCTTCTGATTGGTTGACAAGAGGGAAAAAACCACAAACAGCTACCCTTATCAATCACATCAGCTCCCTTGCTCCCTCCCTCCCTCCCTCCCACCGCAGACAGAGTATGTTACATTGAAAAAATTGCTCTGAAACAACAAATCTTTATGAATCACTCTGAACCATTTCAGAACCTTCAGCTCCGATTTTTAATGCTTTGGAAAGGGTCCTTTTCTGATTAGTAATTCGGTGATTAATTAATACGAATCATACAAATCTCCAAATTATTATACAGGTCTCTGAAGTTTTTCACAGCCCTAATGGACAATATGGCTTCGGATTATATAGAAACTCTTGGCAAATAGATGGTGGTGATCATATGTTATCCACATATGTTGGACACCAGCAAAGCATAGCTGCTTTTATAGACAACCATCTTAAACTGCAATGACACGACAGTCTATTTATATATATATATATATATATATATATATATATATATATATATCCCCATTCATGTGTATTGCACTGCATGTATGATCTGGCCGGGGTGGTCCATGCCTTAGTCACCTCTAGATTGGATTACTGCAACGCGCTCTACGTGGGGCTGCCCTTGAAAACGGCTCGGAAACTCCAATTGGTCCAGCGGGCAGCAGCCAGAATGTTAACTGGGGCCCATTACAGAGAGAGGTCAACCCTCCTGTTTAAGGAGCTCCACTGGCTGCCGTTTATTTTCCGAGCCCAATTTAAGGTGCAGGTGCTTACCTACAAAGCCCTGAACGGTTTGGGACCACCCTACCTGCGTGACCGCATCGTTGTCTATGAACCCAAACGTTCACTCCGGTCATCTGGAGAGGCCCTGCTCATGATCCCGCCCACATCACAAGCGCGTCTGGTGGGGACACGGGACAGGGACTTCTCCGTGGTGGCCCCCCGCCTCTGGAACGCCCTCCCGAAAGACCTCAGACAAGCCCCTACACTGGCAGTCTTCAGAAAGAATTTGAAAACCTGGCTGTTCAAATGTGCCTTCTCTGACTAGAAACCCCAGTTCCAAATCCCAGAAGCACTTTAGTCAGAATCAAGACCACCGCACACTGCACACCGCACTTATATTATAATCCCATATCCCTCCGACACATCAGCACTTTTAATCCTGTACCCCTACTCCGGCCGGCTCAGTTTTTAGTAATGTCTTGTTGTATTGCTATTGTATTTGTTTTTCTGCTTAATTGTTTTATTTGCTATGTATTGTATTGTTGTATTGTGTGGGCTTCGGCCTGTTGTAAGCCGCATCGAATCCTTCGGGAGATGCTAGCGGGGTACAAATAAAGTTATAATAATATAATAATAATAATAATCTCAATATTTACCACATAAAATTGCTATTATGAGCAATAAAGATTACAAGAGGGGCTCAACAGTAGTGGATGACTGAAGGAGCCTCAGTAAAAGTGCATCTTCATCAGTTAACTGTCTTTTATGAACTGCAGCAATGATTTCTATTACAGAAACTCTAGTCCTATAACAAAAGTAATTGTGTTGCTAAGCTGGTTATAATTGGGTAATTTGTTTTTTGTTAGCTTTCTGGTGCCCTTAAGTTTCACTGTTTAGTATTTAGACATAATTCTGTAACTGATTTATTGTGTTTTCTTTCTTATTTTGTGCCATGAGGAAGATCCTATTATTTTCCAATTTACTTTTCTCTCCTCCCCCATTTAGGAAAACTTTCTTCCATTCTCATTAGCTTGATAAGCAAATGAGTTTTCTCCTGTGCCAAGGCATTAGTCTTGCAAACGTTCCACTGCTACGACATGGCTGCATTGGACTGGAAAACCAAGTAAATAGGAAAAACCATGGAGCTGATGAAAAATCTGATATGCATGTTTTCCTCATGGCACTAGCATTATAATAGGATTGGGAGGATTCAAAAAGCCCTTTCCTTTCCCAAATGTTCAAATTGAAAATGGATTAAAGGCAGATCCCCTTAAAATATCAGGCATAATTTGTAACTATTTCTGGATGATCCTAGGACATTGTCATGGATATTGACACCAATGAATAAAATACACATGACTGACATACTATCTATGCCATGGGTAAAAAAGAAAGTACTCATTTTTTCCAAGAAAAGACAGAAAAGCTACATAGGTTTGGTGACTTTTAGATTCACACACAGGGAATATGTGCAGGTTCCCACTTTGTACCTTAGAAGAGAAACTTAAATGAACAATATTCAAATCTCATAAACATTTCTTTGATTGCCTTGAAACTATCCTATAAAGGAATAGGCTTACATTTCCCATCAGAATTCACACCAAGATAATTTATCTTTTATAGTGGTAGAGCAGATGTGAGATGTGTTTTGAAAATCTAGGAAAATAATATGTGGCATACCATACAGATTCAAATTCTATTGAGATCCGAATGCTCTAGACTATCTTTAGGGAAGTTTGTGTTTTGGTTTGAAAACATCACAACAGAAGCAGGGCAGTAAATGTCAATCTAGTGCTAGGCCATGGTGGGAAAAACAGCAACTGAAGGTAAGACAGCAGGTATGCAGTTTCCAATCATTTCTGTTTATATTGTACGCAGTCCTGTATGTTACTTCAAAAATGCCTAGTAAGGGAAAGTACAGAAACAAAGCAAATGCAAAGTGCTGGCTCCATCTGTCGTTGTCTCTCCAATTTTAAATTTTAAAAGCTTGTTTTCTTTGGCAGGCACCTATGGATGAATATTTATAAACTGTGTACTTTAACAATTTCAAAATGCTGTACAGCAATTGTAAAACATACTGTATACAGTAAAACCTCTATATTCATGGGTGATACATTCTAGGACCTTGTAGGGATCTGCAGATTTACAGGTATTAGCAAACCCTGGTAAACAAATGACTTCTAGTGGAACATATACTCTCCTATAGCTCCATTCTAACACATCAATAAGAGTTCAATAGACATCTCCCTTCTCATAGAATTATCCCTGTCATTTTCACTAGAAAAGAAGGTGAACAATATCTTTAAAGAAATAGAAAATGTAAAACAGTTTTTTCATCGTTTTCAAAAAACAATATTACTTTGAATCTCTAGATACCTGCTTAGTTAGCTTCATCTTTTACCTGATGCAACCACACTTTCCATATAACACCACATTATCAGTTATTTGTATGTCAGTAACTTGAGTTTCTCTAATCTCTTTCCCTCTGTACATTAAGTGCACAAAGTCAGTGCCCCCAAAACAAGTAATCTATAATACAGCACTCCCTAAAAGCTCATTGCACGCCTTTCCTGATACTGCTGCCCTTATCACTGAGTCACTGATAAATTGCACCGAGGGAAATTGAGTTTTTATCATATTTAATTTGATTTTGAGATAAATCCTTTTTATGGCAGATTCCACTTACTTTATCTTCATAGCATGCTTCTGTATTGAGTGGAGCAGAACAATTATATTCTATCTCTTTAGCTAATCAGGAAACTTCAGAAAACCTCTAGTAGTTTAAAATCTATAGCTCCATGATGGTGGTGCTCTTATCATGGTCGAGGAGTGATTTTAACCCCAAAGGATTGCATTGGGTATTTTTTAAAAAAAAAACAACTCCAGAAAAGCAAACATTGGGCACTGGGAGTTTGTGGTGACTAGATACTAGGGCTGGGCGGTTTCGTTCATTAATTTCGTAATTCGTTAATAATTCGTTATTTTTCTTGAATACGAAG